AGGCCCGCACACTGCACGCCCTGAGCGTGAAGGCCCGCACACTGCACGCCCTGAGCGTGAAGGCCCGCACACTGCACGCCCTGAGCGTGAAGGCCCGCACACTGCACGCCCTGAGCGTGAATGTCCACACTCTGCACATCCTGAGTGTGAAGTACCAGCTGAACAGGCTTGAGCAGCTGAACTGCAGTAACCCTGCCTGGAGCCAAACCAACACTCCTTAGTGTCCCTGCAATTTACAGGAGGGCATTCTGCACCTTCTGCGTACTCGCCCACCCCCACCCCCACCACTCATCCAAGTCCCCTTCCCTGCTAATACATCACATTTAGGGCTTACTAAAATAGGACTGCTGCAATGTCATTTTTCCTCTCTACCCCCAAACGCTCCCCGCAACTCCAAGGTGAAAAATGAGGACGTGTAACGGGATGTCAGTTCATTAATCAGCTGGCAGGCGCCGCGCTCCATTCGGGCCACTTCCGCGGAGCCCCAGGACGCGGGGCCCCAGGACGCGGGCCCCGCTCCGCTACCACCGTTCTGTCAGGCCGGGTGGCGCCCAGGTGCCACTGCCGGTTCAATAAAACCACGCGTCAGGGAGGGGGGGGGGATTCATGACAAACCTTGTGCTGGAAATGGAGGCCAGCCGGCTTGGGATGCGGCCATCTTCACGGCTGTCAGGCAGTGGACAGTTCCCATATCTGCCAAGGGGCGACAGAAGCCTTAGCGGATGCGCGGTTTCACTGCATATGAGCAGGCTGTGTCTGTACACCACCCATGCTGAGAAGCTTGGTTTAATGCTTTATACATTTAAAAATGTATTTCTGTACCATGACAGCTGCAATCTTGATGCAGTTCTGCCTTGTTCAAGCATTTATGTCATGTTAACATTCCAAAGACTAAACATGCAGGTTGCCTAGTAGCTCCAGTGAGCGGCCTCAGAAGCTCCCTGAGAACATGCAGGAGTTTAATAACTAAGACCAGGCAGTGCTGTGTACATGAAGAACTTTGGGCGCTAAGCGTGGAGTACAAGTCTAACTCTCAGGGTAAGAGCTCGACCGCCACTTGTTTTTTGGCAGCAGTGGTGGGTTTGGCTCGACACCCAAAAGGCTTCAGCGCCCACTCCATCTCCAGGTGGCTCAGGGCATTTGGCCTGGGTGGTTGCGATCAGAAGGTTGTGGGTCTGAATCCGGTCCTCAGCAGGGAAAAACTGCACTGCTGTTGGGCCCTTGAGCAAGGCCTTTAGCTCCCGACCTGCTCCGGGCTGCTGGCTAAACAGCTGACCCTGGGCTCAGAAGCTAAGCTTCATGCTCGATGGTGTGTCTGGTGGGTATATATCACACAGTGTGCACCAAGTATCCCCAAGGAGCCGTTTGGATGTTGCAGGGACCATTTTTCAGTCCCCACAAAGGGAAACTCAATTTTGCAAAAATATGTGACTGCAATCAAGAAACAAAAAATGCCTGTGTGTGTGTATGCGTGCGTGTGTGTGTGTGTATGCGTGCGTGTGTGTGCATGTGTATTTCCACGCGTGCCTATGTGCGTGTGTGTGTGTGTGTGGAAACTAAAGGATTCCAATGTTCATGAGTAAATAAAGCATCGTTTCAGTTTGACACAGGCGGCATCATAACAATCAGATGTCAGAGGAGCGGAGTGGACGTCCCCGCGCCTCAGGGTCACCTCAGTGTTTGCAGTGTGCCTTCCTGTCTTAAAGGGACAGACACTAACAGGGCACCCCTGGAGTCCAAGCCCAGGACACTGGGACTAAGGGCTGAACGCTCTGTGTTACCCAGACATTGCCTGGGGGGCGGGTGATAGAGCCAGGGCCTCTATTTTTAACTTGATACATTTCAGATTAATTAGAATACTAAAATATGGAAAAGGCCAGACATTAAAAGTCCCCAGTCCATTGAAATGCATTAAAAAACAGTTACCCAGGCAAAAAGCAGCCCATTACTGTCGCAATGTGACAAATGTCCTATCATTATTCCACTTCCTGATGAGAGAGGAAAGGAAAAATAGGGAATCAAGCAGAACTTTGGTCTTGTGGCCCCACAAAGGGGCAGCGGGGGTCATGATTTTAGTCTTTGTCTCTGTACCGAGTTGGGAATCAGAATCAGTGTGTCTGGGGGTGTTTGAGTGCTTCAGTCTTCCTCTTCCATCACTTGGTGAATATTTTGGCCATATAAGACCCCAAGTTACGAGCTTCTGACTCTGACCTGAGCATCTGTACAGGGGGTGGATTAAAGGATGATGTCACAGAGACACTTTAAGAACAGTCTTCCTCCACAGGCTGGTACTCAGGCCCACCAACTGGGAGAACTGGGGAAAGGGGAGGGGCTAAAAGTCATGGGGGCCCCGTTGAAGCGAATTTGTCATGGAGCCGGGAAACATGTGCGGCGACTCTGCTGCTACCGTCCCAGCGATGGGCCACACATGAGCTAAAGGCTCTGGCTTCTGGGGCGTGTTCATCAGAAGAAGATGCTGCAACCATCCAGATGAGGTCTGCCAGAAGACCAAGGCAGTCAGAGAACAAACCCGCAAAAAAAAACCAGAAAAGCATCCTGAATAAATCACTCTGGACCGAACAAAAACTACTTTTTTCCCTGAGAGTCAGTTAATTCTTCTCAAATTTCCCAGAGACCCATTTTTTAAAGCGAGAGACAGTAAATAAACAGACCCACGGCACTTTAAAGCGTGGTGAAGCTGGCCCTGCATTCGAGTATTCCAGCAATCACAAATCCTCCGCGTCACCCACACCTCGAATAACTGAGAAAATGCTGAGCAGCCAGAGTGGAGAGAGGAGTCAGGTTTTAAACAGAGCAGAGGCTAGATTCCGATAAAACAACACTGACAGCCCAGGACAGGCTGGGTGCCACATTGCTGGGCAGATGTTACCGCTGGAGGCAAGGGGACGGAGGCCCTGCAGATCGCAGCCAACGGCGATAATGTGAGGCTGCATTAATGAACGCCCCCATCATGTGGACAATCTATCACACGCCCCGTCAGAAGCAGAAGCTCGCAGCATTTCACGGCAGGGTGCACAGAAGATTAAAAGCACACAAACAGCTCTCCAGCTGAGCCAGAACAGCTGCTTTACAGTTCTGAACTTCCACGAGAAGGTCCCCTAATTTTGTCGCGTGCTCATGGAAAGGCGCCTGCGTGGAGGAGGCCATATACTGCAAACTGTTGCACCAGGGAGCACAGATGTTGAGCTGATTTTTTTCTAGGCGATGAGACTCCCTGTGCCTTTCAGGGTCCTGATCAGTTCACCCGGCACAGCTTGTCCTGTTCCCGTTTTAGATCCTCCGCAAAATGAGCCCGTTTGCCCCAGAGAACACTCTGCATCACAGAGGGAATCTGAGGACAAACACCTGAGAACACGCCCACTGTCTCTCACCTCAGCGGCCAACCCTGCACCCCTGCGTCCGGCATGCAGCCAAAGCAGCCTCCTGAAAACCATCAGCCAGGAGTTGGAATAGGAATTCAGCACCGACAGCACTGGGATGCCCAGGTTTTAGCCATTTGGGATGTTAACTTAGAATCACCATGGAGACCATGCCGTGGCAAGAATTTAGGTTATAAAACTTCCACCTGACCTTTGGCCTGGAAAATACACACTTCTGAAACTCATGCTTATAACTCGTTGACTTTGCCACGATATGCATGATGCTGCACACTTTAGGATTTGGGAATAAACCGGAAGTACTGCTCTTTACAAATTATCTACATATTTCATCATTGTAAGGCCGCTTTGAGAAACATGGTTAATTTTTGTAAGATGATGACCCAAAATCCGTTTTGGAGCTTAGTGATTTCCATGGTACCAACTAGTGATGCAAAATATATCAGTTAACATATAATTATGGACCGGTGTTCATTAAAAATCAAAATGTTGGCATTGGGCCGACAAGTCAGTCTTGGTCAATACTTCCAATAAATGCTTATAAATCTCGTACCTCAACAAGTAAAGTACTGCAGTAACAACACAAAGGTCATGTGTTCAAATCCCAGGCAGCAAAAGGTAACCCTTCACTCTGCTGTCACTTTGGATGAATGTGCAATGTAAAGGAGCTTAAAAAAAACCTTTGACTTATATTTTTATAAGCATAAATTTGGTTTACCATCACTGTCGATATGCTCTGTAGTGTCCCAGTTTGCAAGCAGGTCTTCAGCTGGTTTCCATTTCTGACCTGTAGTGTTTGACACAGTAAGAAGCCAGGGTCTGTTTTCCCAGACCCTCGGACAGCAAGTGGACACAGCAAAGGACCGTTAGTTTATAGTAAATGTGTTGTTCATCTCTCTTCCCTATGCGGTTATTCTGTCTGTTTCTTGAACACAGAAAATATGAATACACCTCAAACTGCCCAAAAAATATCGGTTATCAATACCAGTTATATTAAACAAAAAGATACTGGCTATCAGTATCAGCCAAAATTTCCACATCGGTGTGCCGCTGTACCACTGCAGCATAAGGTAGGTCAGATTTCCAAAGGAATTTACCACATCAGCTCCGTGTCGCATGTCGTGGCGTGTCAGATTCACCGCGGCGTGATGCCGTTTTCCTTGAGCGCTGTCAATTCCGATGCCCCACGTCTCTCCGCCAGGCAAAGAGTAAAAACACACTGGCCATCAGCGCAGCAGAGTGCACGATAAATTATTTAAGCCGTTCTTCCAGGTCGACTTCACATATTCACAGGAGACAACACAAGTCCTGCCTTCAAGGGCTTCTAAGGACATCGATGAAACAGAAAAAGGACGCAGTGGAATTCGACACAATCCACAGTTCCTGACTCAAGACACCTCGAGATCCAAGCAGGTTACAGCTAAATCCTTTAAGCCTTTTGTTTGCAAACAAGAATGCAGTGTATATGGGCCCGACACCTCGGATCAGCAAACTCAGCGGTTACCCAGTCCTGCCGCCCCGCAGCTCCAGGGGAAACCTCAGTCACATGACCCCATTCACAAGCATGTTGCTAAACCTATAATTGGTACTGAGGCTATAATTATCAATTAACTGGGGTGCGTTGATAATTTTTCCTGAATGTGAGTGCAGTAAGGGAGTGTGCTGGACAATCAGGCTCCATGATGATGAAAATAGTGTGGGGGGGGGGGGGGGTTGCAAACAACAGGACCAACTGAGTTATGCAGTCCCTGCATCTATCCCAGACAATTTTTCATTCATTTATTGAGCTACAAGGTTATGAGCCTGAGCTGTGATGTGTTTGAAATACAAGACCCTAAATTACAATGTTTAGGGTGCAATACTGGCATCATCATCTGTCAATGTCTGGGTAAATCACACAGACCTGGGTAGGGGGCGGAGGCCACGCCTGGGTGCGAAATGTGGCAAATGAGTATCTGAAGGATTTAGGTGTGAGAGCACTACTAATGCTTCCTTGAGACCTAAATTCCTTCACCCACCCCCACCCACCCAGGCAGAAGCAGGTGTCAGAGTTGTTCTGATAGGAAATCACATCTCATCACCGCTACAGAAAAACCTCAAGCAGGGTAGCTGCGTCCATCCGGGCGGGGAGCAGCCCAGCCGAAAGCCCCCATCCCATCACGCCCCGAGCCCCTGTGTTGCGAGGACCCCCGCCGATGGCGAACAGGGAGATGAGATTCAGAGACGAGAAGAATTCCAGCAGAGCAGGAATGGCGGGATTC